TGCTGCTGCTGCTCTGCGTCTCTTTATCTCTTTTTGCTGCTGCTGCTCTTTTTGCTTCTTTTTTCTCCTTTTTGCCTCTTTATGCTTCCTCTAATCTCCTTTTATTTTCTTTTATCTTCTTTTAATTCATTTTAATTTCCTTTTTTCTCTTTTTATCTTTTTTTTTTATTTATTTTATTTATTTTATTTATTTTTATTTTTATTTTTATTTTTATTTTGCTGCAGATGGACTGATTGGCTCCAAAGCATAAACCGCCATCCTTTCTTCCTCGAGAACAAAATGCAGCCTTCGGACTCGGCATGAGCCAGTTTGCTGCAGCAGCAGCAGCAGCAGCAGCAGCAGCAGCAGTAGTGATAGCAGCAGCAGCAGCACCAATAGCAGTGCTTGCAGCAGCAGCAGCAGCAGCAGTGTTAGCAACAGCAGCAGCAGCACCAGTAGTGCTAGCAGCAGCTGCAGCGGCAGCAACAACAATAGCATGGCTAGCTGCAGCTGCAGCAGCAAAAGACGCAGCAGCAGCAGCAGCTGGTGCTGCCGCAGCAGCTGCAACAGCATTACCAGCTGCAGCAGCAGCTGCTGCAACAGCACTGCTCGCTGCAGCAGCAGCAACAGCAGCAGCAGCAGCTGCTGGTGGTGCTAGCACTGCTGCTGCTGCTGCTGTTGCTGCTGCTGCCTTTGAGCTTCTGGGGCGGCGGCTGACTCTCTAGTCGACGTAAACCCTAAACCCTAAGTTCTCCTAAACCCCAGAGGGCCCAAACCCTAAACCCTAAACCCTAAACCCTAAATCTTGCGTCTGTACACCGCTAAGGAAAAGTTCCTATTCAGCTACAAGGTGTCTATACACCCCAACGCACTGGGGTGTCTGTACACCCCAATTACTCGAAGGTGCCTATACACCGCAACGGAAGCTGCAGTGCTCGCGAGGGTTTAGGGTTTAGGGTTTAGGGTTTCTGCCCGCCTGAGATCTAGGATTTAGGGTTTAGGGTTTAGGGTTAAAGCAGCAGCTCGCGGCGGGCGCGGGAAGCAGCGCAGCCCAGCAGCGCAGACACCCCGCTGGAGCGTCGCTGAAGGTCCCCCAGCCACCACTCTTCCTGCTGCTGCTGCTGCTGCTGCTGCTGCTGCTGCTGCTGCTGCTGCTGCACCCAGTCCCCCGGGGTGACAACAACTGGCAGCTCCCAGACGAGGTTAACAACATCGGGGGGGCGCACTCGCCTCGGCAGCGGCTGCAGCTTCTGCTGCAGCCCCTGCTGCAGCAGCAGCAGCTGCTGCTGCTGCTGCTGCTGCTGCTGCTGCAGCGGGCAGGTAAACCTCACAACTAGCGAGTAAGACACCTGCAGCAAATCCGTCTTGAAGGAAGGAGGAACAGCAGCAGGCGCGAAGGCCACCAAGGAGACAGTCTCTCTGTGCAGCACGAACTCGCTCTGGCTCCACACAATGCGCGCCTGCTGCTGCTGCTGCTGCTGCTGCTGCTGCTGCTGCTGCTGCTGCTGCTGCAGGGGGTCCAGCTGCTGCTCCAGCGCCACCAAGGCCACAGTGACTTGGTAAGTGGGGCAAAGGGCTTTTGAAAAGTCGAAGCAAAGACGGAGACAGTCTCCTGCAGCAACAGTGGGGTGCTTGCTGCTGCTGCTGCTGCTGCTGCTGCTGCTGAGCAGCCACAAGTTGCACAGCAGCAGCCCTTCCAGGCTCACGCGGAAGCTGTCCGCCCTCCTGCTGCTGCTGCTGCTGCTGCTGCTGTCTTCCTGCTGCAGCTCGCCCTCCGCCATGCACCGCAGCACTTCCAGCTGCGCTGAAAACGAACCCGACTTGCTTCTGCTGCTGCTCCTGCTGCTGCTCCTGCTGCTGCTTCTGCTGCTGCTTCTGCTGCTTCTGCTGCTGCTTCTGCTGCTGCTTCTGCTGCTGCTTCTGCTGCTGCTCCTGCTTCTACTGCGGCCGGAACTGCTGTGGGGAGACTCGCTTGACGCTGCGGGCTCCCCTGCTGCTGCTGCTGTCGTGCTGCTGCTGCTGCTGCTGCTGCTGCTGCTGCTCCAGTTCTCGGTGTCTCCTCTTTTATATGACGGTGTCTCCGGGTTCTTTGTCCCTTCCTCTGTCGTCCTTTCTGCTGCTGCTGCTGCTGCTGCTGCTGCTGCTGGTGTTTCTGCTGCTGCTGCAGCTGCTTCTGGTGATCCTGCTGCCGCTGACTGTGGGCTTGCAGCTTGCTGCGGCGACAGGTGCTCCGCTGCTTCTGCTGCTGCTGCTGCTGCTCTTGCCGTCACCTCTGCTGCTGCTGCTGCTGCAGCTGCTGCTGCTGGCGCCCTTGTCTTTGCTGCTGCTGCTGCTGCTGGGGGTGCTGCAGCAGCAAGCAACGAAGACACAAGTGTCTCCCCGTATGTTTGAATGTAGCCCCCGAGTCTCCACAGCTCCAGTGCATCTTCTAGCGGCAAGGTCTGCTGCTGCTGCTGCTGCTGCTGCTGCTGCAGCTGCTGCTGCTGCTGCTGCTGCTGCAGAGGTCCACTGGTCAGCTGCGCGCCTTCTCCGGCCAGCGGCAGCCCCGGAGTCTCCGCCCAGGGGGTGAGGCGGCAGCAGCAGCAGCAGCAGCTGCCGCAGCCGCTGCTGCTGCTGCTTGGCAGCAGCAACTGTCTAGCTTTGCTTCTGAAGCAAAAGCGCAGGGGACTAAGGATGGGGTCTCCTCGTTTGCTGCCTGCCTCCGCTGCTGCTGCTGCTGCTGCTGCTTCCGGGGCTGCCGCAGGCGAGTCTCCTGCTGCTGCTGCTGCTGCTGCTGCTGCTGGCTCTGCTGCGCGCTGCCTGCTGCCAGCAAACGGCAGCAGCGCGGCCGGCAGCTGCAGCCAGCTGGATCGCTCGGAGCCGCCTGAGTCGCTGCCTTGCTGCTGCTGCTGCAGCAGCAGCTGCTGCTGCTGCTGCAGCTGCTGCTGCTGCTGCTGCTGCAGCTGCTGCTGCTGGGATGCACTGCTGCTGGTCCCCTTCGTTTGCGCGTCTGGCGGCTCTGCGCCGCTCGTTTGCTGCGGGTCTACTGCAGCAGCAGCTGCTGCTGCTGCAGCAGCAGCAGCAGCAGCAGCAGCAGCAGCAGGGACAATGGGGGGCCCCAGCGTGGGCAGCAGCGGGACCTCCGGGAGCGCGCAGCCGCCCAGCCAGACGGGGCAGCAGCCAACTGCATGCGCGGGGACAGCAGCAGCAGCAGCAGCAGCAGCAGACCGCAGCAAATGAACAGTTAAGAAATAAGCATAGACTCCAGAGCGGTGAGAGGGGGGCAAGAAGGGAGGCAGCAAACACTCGTAAACAAACGAGAGCCGGCCTTGCTGCTGCTGCTGCTGCTGCTGCTGCTGCTGCTGCTGCTGCTGCTGCTGCTGTGGCCTGGTCCCGCAGCAGCAGCTGTGGCTGCTGCTGCTGCTGCTGCTGCGGGGAGACAGCCGGATGTCTCTGGCAACGACGCAGGGCTCAGATATAAACAGCAACTTGCTGCCGTCTCCGTAAACCGCTGCTGCTGCAGGGTCCTGCTGCTGCTGCTGCTGCTGCTGCTGCTGCTGCTGCTCTTCGGGGGGGCGAACAGGGGGCCTGTCGGGCAGGGTCCCCCTTTCCGTTGCTGCCGCGGCAGCAGCAGCAGCAGCAGCTGCTGCTGCTGCTGCACTGGAGCTGCTGCTGCTGACCAGCCAAGCAGCAGCCAGGTGCCTATATAGCTGCTGCTGCGGCTGCTGCAGCGCAGCAAGGAGACAGTCCCTTCCTGCTGCTGCTTTCCGCGCGCATGTCAGCACCCCACAAAGCTGCACAATCACAGCAGCAATCTCGCAGCCAGCCTCACAATCTGCTGCTGCTGCTGCTGCTGCTGCTGCTGGGGGCCCTGCTGCTGCTGCTGCTGCTGCTGCTGCATTCTCTAGAGTCAAGAGACAACGCAGAGTGTCTCCTGAAAAGTAAAGGGCCTGCGACAAGTACACTCCGACTCGAACAGCCCCAGTGCGCTGCTGCGGCAGCATGGCAGCAGCAGCAGCAGCTGCTGCTGCAGCAGCAGCAGCAGCAGCAGCTGCGCCGGCTGCTGCTGCAGTCAGTCGTGCCTCCGCGGCCGCTGCTGCCAGCCCTGAGCTGCTGCTGCGGGGTTTCTGTGAGCACAAAACAGCAAAACTGAGGCAAGGCTGCAGCTGCTGCTGCTTTTGTTGCGCTGCTGCTGCTGCTGCTGCTGCTGCTGCTGCGAGATAGCCGCCGCATGCATGCGGCCTTGGGGCTTTGGGGCTTCCGCAATGGGGCTTTGGGCTCTTGCTGCTGTCTTTAATTAGTTTGCTGCCTTTCACTAATTGTGGGGAGGCGCAGCAGCAGCTGCTGCAGCATTTGCTGCTGCTAGCTAGCTAGCAGCAGCAGCAGCGTCTGCTGCTAGCCAGCTGGCAGCTCCCCGCCAGCTAGCCACACAGCAGCGCGTCTGGGCAGCTAGCTAGCTAGGCAACCCGCTTCATAGGCCAGGCTAGCTAGCGAGTTAGCTAGCTCGCTAGCTAGCTAGCCAGCTAGCTAGCTAGCCAGCTAGCTAGCTAGCCAGCTAGCTCGCTAGCTAGCTAGCCAGCTAGCTTGTTGTCTAGACCTGGCAGAATAGCTAGCTAGCTGGCTAACCAACAAAGCAGCTAGCTAGCCAGCTAGCTAGGCCTGGCTAGCTAGCTAGCCAGCTAACTAGGCCTGGCTAGCTAGCTGCTGCCCATGTCTGCACCTCCTGGCTAGCCGCCCCAATGCGTCTCAGGCTAAAGAGCCCACTGCCCCTACAAGGCTTTGGCCCAGCTAGCTGCAGCTAGCTGCCAGCTAGCTGCTTACTAGCTAGCTGCGAGCTAGCTAGCTGCGAGCTAGCTGCTAGCTAGCTAGCTAGCCCGCGAGTTAGCTGCAGCTAGCTAGCTCTTTATCTTTAAAACTGCCTAGCTAGCTAGGTAGCAGCAGGCTGCAGCAGCTAGCTGCTGCAAGATCCGGATTTGCGCAGCCACTCAGGCGCAGCTTGGCAACTGTGGGGCTCTGAAGGCGCTGCTGCTGCTGCTGCTGCTGCTGCTGCTGCAGCTGCTGCTGCTGCAGCAGCAGCAGCTGCTGCTGCTGCAGCAGCAGCAGCTGCTGCTGCTGCTTTTCTCCGTTTCGCACTGCTATCTGCCTGTCTACATTTGTCTCTAAGCCGTTCTCTAGTGTCTTTTTTCATTGTCTCTTTTTGCTGCTTCTGTGGCTCTTTTTGCTGCTGCTCTGTCTGTCCTTGTTGCTGCTGTGTCTCGTGCTGCTGCTGCTGTGTCTCCATTTGCTGCTGCTGTGTCTCCTGCTGCTGCTGCTGTGTCTCCTTTTTCTTATTGAGGCTGCTGGAGCCAGAGTTGCTAAGCCAAGTCTGAGGTGTGCATCCACTTCCCTCTGCAGCAACAACTTCTGTTGCTGCTGCTGCTGCTGCAGCTGCTGCTGCTGCAGCTGCTGCTGCTGCAGCTGCTGCTGCTGCAGCTGCTGCTGCTGCAGCAGCTGCTGCTGCTGCAGCGCCTGCTGCTGCTGCTCGAGATGGTCGTGCTACGGCGCACTTGCTCTAGCTGCTTCTGTTACTCTTGCCGCTGCAGCAGCAGCAGCAGCAAAGTGAAGCAGCAGCCACTGCATGCGCAGCCACTGCTGCTGCTGCAGCAGCAGCAGCAAGTGCAGCAGCAGCAAGTGCAGCAGCAGCAGCTACTCATTGAGCCACGGATTCTGCTTCAGGGCCTCTGGGTCTCTTTCGCCGTAGTCCACCAGCAGCTCCTCCCCCCTACAAAGACAGCCCACCTAAACCCTAAACCCTAAACCCTAAACCCTAAACCCTAAACCCTAGACTGCCCCTGGAGGCCGACCAAAGCTTGAGGCTCTCGTCTAGCCCCCGAGATCGGAAGCACGAGGGTTTAGGGTTTCCGCAAAAGCTGCGCCTGCGGCAAGAGAAAGGGTTTAGGGTTTAGGGTTTAGGGTTTAGGGTTTAGGGTTTGCAACGCACTCGTGGATGTCTCTGAGAGCCACGAAGAAAAGCCGCAAGTCGTTGGCGTCTCCGTCGAGAGCCTCCGCCTGCAAATAAATTAATTTAATTAATTTAATTTAATTAATTTAATTTAATTAATTTAATTTAATTAATTTAATTTAATTAATTTAATTTAATTAATTAAATTAATTAATTAAAATAATAAATAATAAATTAAAAATAAATAAAGAGATTAAAAAGCAGTTGTATCTTTGCTTCTGTCCTGCATGCGTTTCTGTGTGCCTTCGCTTTGGCTTTGCCGCTCGTCCCCAAACCCTAAACCCTAAACCCTAAACCCTAAACCCTAAACCCTAAACCCTCACCTTGGGCTTGAGATTAGGGTTTTTCCTGGAGTGGTTGATGAGGCGAGCGGGGCCAAACTCCAGTCTCTCATCTGTGGCGTCGATGCTCATTTGTCTATCTTTATATTTAAAATAAAACATAAAGCTCCTGCAAACAAAACCCTAAACCCTAAACCCTAAACCCTAAACCCTAAACCCTAAACCCTGGGCCCGCAAGCGTCGCACCTCGCCGCAAACCCTCAACCTCTGGCGGCCCCACCCTCGCAGCGCAGCCCAACCCGTAAACCCTAAACCCTAAACATCCCTCACCCCCCAAACACCAAACCCTAAACCCTAAACCCTAAACCCTAAACCCTAAACCCTCGTGCGCCCACCCCTTGGAACAGCGAGACCTGTCGTAGCGAATGTCTCTTTCTCTTGCTTCTCTCTCAGAACAAAGTTCTCCTTTGTATTCTAAAAACAAAATAAAAAAGAAATTAAAAATATATTCCAATTTAAACTTGAAAACTAAAAAATTAAATATCAAAAAGAATAGAAAATAATATAAATATATAAATAATAATAATAATAAACATACAAATATACTAATATATATACAATTAAAAGAAAACAATTCTAGAAAATAATTACAAGAATAAAATAATTAAAAGAAGATAAAAGAAGATAATTAAATCAAAAAATAAATTTGCAAACAATAAACTTTCAAATGATGAACTTCGAAAACAATAAACATTAAAAAGTATAAATGGAAAAAGTGTTTTTGATTTAAAACTTTAAAACGAAAAAACTTTTATTCAAAGAAAAGTATTAAAAAGGAGAAAATAAAAAACTAAAAAACAAAAAAAAGATTAAAAATGTTTTGGTTTTAAATCACTTTAAAGAGTAAAACATGATCTAAAAGCCTCAAAAAGAGTGAAATTTGAATTTAATAATCACAAGAAGAAATAAAAAGAATTAAAAGGAATTAAAAAGAAATATAATGAATTAAAAAGCAACAAAACGAATTAAAAAGAAGTAAAAAGAAGTAAAAATAAAAAGAAATCAAAAAAATAAAAAACTAATTTTGCAAAAATAAAATCACATTCTAATTCACCGCTGCAGCAAAACGCCGCGGGCCTCTTTAAGACACAAACAAAAAATAAAAACTTTTTCTGAAGACCATTTAGACGAAAAAACAAAAAATAAAAAGCTTTTTCGATAAGCAATTAAATGGGAAAACTTTCTGAATCAAAAACCACCAAAAAGGGTTTCATTTCCTCCAAATATTCATCCAAAAAAAAGCAAAAGAGAACCAAAAAAGAATCAGTTTTACTCAAAATAAAGTCATCTTTGCAGATTAAAACCGCGCGGATTTTTCGAGGGAAATAACACAAAAAGGAGTTTCTGGTGTCCAATTAAATGAAATAAAAAGCCAAAACAGACACCACTAAATAGAGAATAACTTGGACTTCACAATAATCCAAAAAAGAAGAAAAAAGAGTAGAAAAAGAATTACTTTCACCCAAAGCAAACTCATCTTTGGATATGAGATCCGCAGCAAACACTGCGCGCACCATGCCACGGACATGAGACAAAAAGGCGATTTTTAGGTCAAAATACGGCGAATAAAAGCTTGAAACGAACACCATTAAATGGAGAATAAGTTGGACTTCATAATAGTGCAAAAAGGAAGAAAAAAGAAGCAAAATGAAGAGAGTTTCACCCAAAACGAAGTCGTCTTTGGAGATGAGATCCGCAGCAAACACTGCGCGCCCCTTGCCCGGGACCTTCGCCAGCTTGACGTTCGCGTGGTGGTTTTGGCGAAGACAATAAATGTACAGCAAACGCCGCTGGGGGCCCGAGACCAGCGAGAAGGCCCGCCTGCAAACCCTAAACCCTAAACCCTAAACCCTAAACCCTCGCAAACCCTAAACCCTAGCCTAGCTGCCGCCTCCCCTCGCCCACAACAACGCGCTCCGCCCCAGCCACTAAATGTACAGCAAACGCCGCTGGGGGCCCGAGACCAGCGAGAAGGCCCGCCTGCAAACCCTAAACCCTAAACCCTAAACCCTCGCAAACCCTAAACCCTAATCAGCCCTCCCGGAGCATTCCCGCGCTGCACTACTACTGCTACAAACCCTCGCTAAACCCTAAGTAAACCCGAAATAGGAACACGCTGGCGCTCAGAGACATGAAAGAAGACGCCCGGCTGCAAACCCTAAACCCTAAACCCTAAACCCTAAAAGTCAAGGACAGAGAGCAGCAATTGTGTAAACCCTTTAAATAAATATCTCAGACCCTCGCAAATGCTGGCGAAGTGCAAAGCTATAAAAGCAAAACCCCAGGCCCCCTCTGTAAACCCTAGAACCTCTAAACCCTCGAAACCCTCAGAAACACCCGACGCAGTGAATAGCCCGTGTGCGACCTAGGGTTTAGTGTTTAGTGTTTAGGGTTTAGTGTTTAGGGTTTAGGGTTTGGTGCTTAGGGTTTAGTGTGGAGCGTTCAGGGTTTAGAACCCGCGACTTCCCGGCGCAGAGCCCGCGGCGAACCCCCTCGAGTTTGTTGCTAGGGTTTAGGGTTTAGGGTTTAGGGTTTAGGGTTTGCGGACTTGAAGAGTCCGGTTTGTCGGTCGATGAAGGCGTCGACGAGTGCGTCTCCGTCGCCGTCGGGCACTCCTTGCATGCGGGTTTTTTTGTTTTGTTTCAAAACTTCTTTTAATTGTTCTTTTCTTTTTTTCAAGTTTTCACTTCTTCTCGAAAACTCGGCCTGCATGAATTCGAAGAAGCGGTTGGCTTCGTGCTGCCTGCGCAGCTGCAGCTGCTGCGCGGCGCGCGGCCGCTTCCCCGCGCGCTCGCCGCTGCTGCTGCTGCTGCTGCTGCTGCTGCTGCTGCTGCTGCTGCTGCTGCACTGCCGCCGCCGCTTCAACGCAGAAACGCAAGAAGGACACAAAGCTTGAAGTGCTGCTTCCACGCAACCCCCCTTGTCAAACCGACTTAAGTTCCAGTACAAGTTCGTCGCGTTCTGCGCCAAGTTTATCGCCGAGAAGTCCAGCGGCCTGCAGCGCCCACACAAACTCCTGCTGCTGCTGCTGCTGCTGCTGCTGCTGCTGCTGGAAGGAAGGCGAAGTTCGCTGCAGCTAGCTAGTTGGCTAGCTAGCTAGCTGGCTGGGGATTCATCGAGCTAGCTAAAGGCTGCTGCAGCTAGCTAGCTGTGCAACGACTCATATCTCCGTTCGTCCCGCTAGCTAGCCAGCTAGCTACCCAGCTAGCTAGCTAGCTAGCTAGCTGCTCTCCAGCCCTACACGGCTCTCGCCAACTAGCTAGCTAGCGACAGCTCCCCACCCCCCCGTATAACCCCTCTACAGCTAGCTGTGCCCCTCCCCCCGCTCGCTGCAGCTCCCCGCAGCCCCCCCGCAGCCCCCCCGCAGCAGCAGCAGCAGCAGCAGCAGCAGCAGCGGACTTGTTGAGCTGCTGCGCGAAAGCAGCTAGCTTGAGCAGCGCGCGCTGCAGCTCCGGCTTGCTAGCCACGCGCACGCGGTCCACTTCCATGAAGGAATGAAACTCCGTCGGAAACTCCACTTCGAGCCGCACGCCCGGCGGCAGCAGCAGCGAAGACACGAGGGCCTCGGAGTCGAGGGTCCACAGCGAATCTGGGCTAAGTTCGCCCACGCACACGTAGCTGCTGCTGTCTTCTGCTGCTGCTGCTGCTGCTGCTGCTGCGGAGTTGCTGCTGCTGCTGCTGCTGCTGGGAGGGGGGGGG